ATCTTGCGAAATTCCGTTTACAAGCTTTCACGATTGCAGCTGTGGTCAATGATGTTAGCTCGTCGATATCGAAATAGTTCGAGAAATGATCCACCGTAAGGAGATAGACCGTCTTCCTCGCTCCTAGTTCCACCTCACATAGATCCATACTCAACTTCTGATATGGGTAGCTGGGAATCTGGTGGCTTTGCATTGGTTGCTCAAGCTGATTCGACGAAAACTTAGCGCATACGTTGCAATGCTGAACTTTCTGCCGAATCTGGTCGTTCAATCCGGGTCAAAACACTGTATCTCGTGCAAGCTTCATCGTTGCCTCAATACCAGAATGAGACTGATGCAACTTCTCGACAATCTGGTTACGCAGTCTGCGGGGGATCAAAATTCTGTCATTTCTAAATACGAGTCCGTTTTAAGTACAGTAATCCTCCTTATACTGCCAATACGGTGGGATAGTTTCAGGGACGTCTTTCTTCATTGGCCATCCATCAATAATGTACCGTATGATGGTTTAGATCTCCGGGTCTACCTGCGATTCTGCCTTTAACTCTTCGACTCGATCATCAGATACAGGGATATACTGGACAGAGTTAATTTGCTCCATCTCATATATGTCGTAGATCTCCCGACTCGTGTTGTCACCTTCCGATGTAGCTGCTCGCGACAACATATCAGCTATCACGACTTCCTTGCCTGGGGTGAAACGAAGTGTAATCCTGTATCGTTGCAAACCTAGCAACATTCGTTGGATTCTTTGGAGGGGAGCTTTGGTTAATCGCTTCTTGAAAATTTGAATCAAAGGCTGATGGTTCGTTTGTACAATCACTGGTTGTGACACGCAGACACGCCAGTGCCTCTTTTTCGATCTGAGCGTATTTGCGCTTTGTTGGCGTAAGAGTCTTCGAAGCATAAACAACAGGTAGACATTCCTGCATCAAAACTGCTCCGAGCCCCACACTGCTGCTATCGCATTGGATCACAACATCCTTTGTAGCATCGAAATAGCGAAGTACTGGTGCTGTCGTTACCAACTGCTTCAAATTCCGAAATGCGTTTCCGTGCTCCTGTGTCCAAATCCAAGGTTAATCTTTACTGGTCAGCTTCCGCAAAGGCTCCGCGGCGTTTGCTAGGTTCGGCAAGTAGTTGGTCAGGTACGTGGTCATCCCAAGGAATCGCTGAAGTGCTGACATGAGGTGTGCTCATATCCAGGATGCTACTGTACACCGGTTGATGTAAGAATATGACCGAAGAACTTCACTTTTTCCAGACACAGCTTAATCTTTTCACTGTTGAGCTTCATGTTGTGCTGCTTGATCCTTGTTAACAGTGACTCCAGGTTCCTATTGTGGTACATCATCGCCTGTTCGATTTCATCACCACATCCGCAGATCAAAATGTCACCTGCCAATGCTCGAACACCTTTTAGACCATGTAAGGTTTCGTGTAACTTTTTCTGAAAAATTTAAAGAGCTGGCGATATACCGAACGGCATTGGGAGCCACCTATAGCGTTGGGATGACACGGTCGAAAAAACTTTTGCTTTCGACAATTCGGGTAGCAACTCATTCACAGTCGGCATTTGGTAGTGCAGACGTTTCTTTGCTTGGTTGAGAACTATTGGGTCAATGCATACCCGTAACTTGTTGTTGCGCTTAACCAGGTTGCTCACCCAATATGTGTTTTTCGGTTCTTCGACAATGATCGCCAGAACGACAATGCACTATACTGGAACTACTTCTTTATTCGTGATGTAGAAACTGATGCTGGCTTTTAGTGGAGGTGCTTTGTTGTTGCGGTTCAGACTGTAGAGGAATTGTGCACTGGTAACCGATTCCTCATAACTGTCAGACAGCGTTTCTTTTCCCTGGTTAGACGCAGTTCTAACTTCGTTGGACTTCTGCTTGTTCGGCTTCGTTCTCGGAACATGTTTAAGCGAGTCCCCAATTTTTTTTTCTGCATACCGCCGCATAGTGATTCTTCTGCTTGCAGTAATTGCACGTCACACCACCAGCGGGACACTCCGAAAGCTTTCGGTGGTAGCCCTTTCCACAAAACGCACACTTCCTGTTCTTGAAAGATGTAACTTTGTTGATTGCTTGATTTGATGGTCCAGCGTCGTACAAGTGATTCCTCTCCATTTCTGCCCTGGTAGCTTCTTCCGTTTGACACTGTTTGATGACATCCGCCGATGTTAAATCCTGCTTCTAGATGAAACGCTTCTTGAGGTTGACGTCACGTATGCCCATGATAATCCTATCGCGCAGCATCCGATGTTTATCCGGTGTTTTTCCGGATGATATTTCACTGTTCGCGGTATTTGCGGACCGAAAAATCAATTTTTCGGATCAATGATACTTGTTCGAACTTGTTATTCGCGACCAATTTTACTACTGCGTCGTAATTTTTCATCAACTGCTTTATTCAGAGCTAAATGTCAATACATATGAAGGTGCTTATTTGCAAGGTTAATCAAAAGGTATGCTTGTACTCTTATATTGGTCAAGGCACATTTAATTTGTGACTAAGTGATGACACTGGACATTGTTATTTGCAATTCACTTTAAAAGGTGTGTTTCATATTTCACCACATGTAGTTCCAAAGAGCTTCAATGAAATGTATTTAGTCTAAGAACTCTAAACTCTAACTCCAAAGCTTCTGTTTCTGAAACGCCTTACTCCAGAATAAATTCGGTAGAGTACCTAATGTCAGCCTAAGTGTCTTCAATACAGAGCCCATAGGGGATACGATCCTATAGTTGCGGTACGTTAGAAGCATTAGCTGTGCTTAAATTTATTAACTTCTCTTTAAACTGTTCCCCTGGTAGAGTAAAATTAAGTTCATTCGAGACGGCATAAGGCATCAACCATTCCGAGCATCAATAACTCCCCGTTATCACTTACCCTCACACACCATTGTCTTTAGGACTATCAAGACTAATCTCTTGTCAAAAAGAAGTGAAGTGACTATGCAAGTTATTTTCTTTCTAATGCCACTTCAACCTACTTATGGTTATATCATATCGTTTAAGTCAACCGCCCGCAAGAAATTGAGTACAGTCTGTTCTATATTCCTGTCGTTGTACAATACTTCACAGATTGAACCAACGACACCCATTTCTTCCCTCAATTGTGCTCGAGCCGGGCACTCCACCCATAGATGATTTACTTCTAACACCGTACCGCATCCCTGGCAGCCACACTGCCGCTAAAACAAGGTCCATGAGTGAGCCGTGTATGACCAATACTCAGCCGAGTCAGAACTTTCTGATCTCGAGAATCGGGTACATCTTTCCACTCTTGTGTAGTGTTCTTGATTCTACGCAGGAATGCATCACAGTTGTTATGCCATTCCATGCGTATCGCAAGGTCTGCTTCACCCAGTGGGTGGCGTCACTATAGGGCACCGAAGTGACCTCTAGGTGAGCAAGACGACCCTGGTTAGCTAGTCTATCAGCAGCCTCATTCCTTGGTATACCTGCTTGCCCAGGTACCCATACAGAGGTTATGTTAGCGTACCGCTGCCCCTCCAACGACCACGGGTGTCCAACCTGTCGTTGCTCAAGGGCAGAAAGACAACTCGCTGAGTCAGAGAATACAACGGCTTGAGACTCGTTTGCTAGCCTCCAAGGTACCACAGAGACCGGATAACCGGCCGCAGCGACTTGTGGCGTCCCCAGAAACCCCATAACTAACTTCCTCGTCGATCAAAGAACCATCCGTAAATAGCATGGGTCTTCCCTCGTATGAGGCAGCAACCTCTCTGAATGCAGCTTTCGCCACACCAGAGCTGGCCTCCTCCCCACACATAGTTTTAACCGTCCAATCAACTTTCGGGGCAGTAGCATCCCATGCCCGTTGCCACAGCCTAACTCGCTGGGCTAACGTGGGAAAATCTACTCCCGTCAAGTCGCTCCACCATCCACTCGCCCTTGCAACCGTGGGCCTGTCATTGAGGATGGGATCCCTTTCCAATAACCTCAGTGTCTTAGTGGCCAAGTCTTCGTGACAACATTCACCAAAGGTACCTTTCCATCCTCCACCAACAGGGAAGCTATTGGTGAAGACCTCAGCGCTCCACTACAGATTATGTACGCCTCATTGTACTGAGGATCCAGAATCTTGAGCAGGCAGACACCACCCCTGCTCCACAGTTCCGTCCCGTAGAGGATGCTAGGGACAATCAGAGCTCTAGCAACATTGGTCAATGTACGACGAGAGGCTTCAGAGAAGCGACCATTTAAGGTCCGAAGGATATTCATCTTGCTGTTGACATTACCCTTCGCCAACTTGGCGTGCTTAACAAATCGGAGTCTGTTATCAATAGTCACACCAAGCAGTTTCACCGATACTAATGAATGGCAGACTCGGTCTGTGATGATGGCCAAAGCAGACGTGCAACAGTTTGGACTTCTCGGGAGAAATCACAAACCCAACACTATCTGCCCAGTCAACGACAGACTGCACTGTATCCTGCATTTTGTGCCTAACCACCCTACCGTATTTACCAAACACGATGAGGGTAATATCATCGGCGTACACAATAATGTGTACTTCCTTGGGAATGCGTTCAAACACTGAGTTCATCGCAATGAGAAACATTGTAACCGAGATGACAGACCGTTGCGGGATACCATTCTCCAGCAACCTCGGGGTAGCGTTCAAAACCAGGAACCTATGGTTCTGTAGAAAGGGAAGTCAAGATAGGAAGCTTCCATGTCATATCATATGCCTTGGACAAATCGAGGGAGACTACCACCTCTATTCTTGTTTACGGCCGTATCCGACATTCGTACGAGCGAACCGATTCGAACGAATTCGAAAAGGGCATTCTTGTTTTCGTTCGAATGTATTCGAATGCGATTCGTATGCGAAAAAGTGTTGCCACATCAACACAAGTGTTCGAAGCAATTCGGAACAGCCAAAACTGTCAAAACAACTAATAATAAACAGCGTTCGATGTGTACAAGATGAATTGTTGTTGAAAAAGTTGAGAAAACGAATTAGATTATCAGGTAAATATGCGTTTAAATCGAAGGGTTCGATGATTTTTAACATCATTTTCTTGTTTTTAGCAATGGATACTGTAATGTTGGCTGTCTTTGCAGAGCAGGAAGAGCTGCGCTCTTTGAGAAGGCATCGGTCTAATTTGCGTAATACTACCGATATTATGGAGCTGCCGGATGCAGAGTAAGTAATAAAATAACACTTGTGTACTTATATAACTGCTTACATCTTCTCACTGTGCTACAACAGATTACAACATAGCCACTTACACAACAACAACTGTGTCCTAATGCTTGTGATTTTGTTTTAGATTCATCAAAAACTTCCGGTTGAACAAGGAAGCATTTCTGTACATCCTTGGCGAAATTACTGACGAATTTCCCCCTCAAAGGCAAGGAGCCCTTTCCGTGAAGGAGAAACTCGCAGCTTGTCTTCGTTTCTTTGCCGAAGGCAGCTATCAGCATGGAACCGGAAAAGACTTTGATGTCGCAGTAGCTCAGCCAACGTTTTCAAAGATCCTTTCAGAAATTCTTACTGTTTTCGAGAGGAAAATTTGTCCTCAGTGGATAAACATACGCATGTCAAATGAAGAAATGTGTCGAGCAAAACGATTTTTCTATGAGAAATCTGGTATCCCTGGCGTGATCATGTGTGTTGATGGAACACATATAAAAATTATTCCTCCGAATGTAAACCGCAACCTTTTGACGTAGAACTACGTCTTTGTCGACTATACTGGGGTGCAAGTCAAAAAATATGTGTGGTGAAGGAGTGTTAGGTTTTGAACGCTTGTAACTTTGTCATTTATAGATGAAATTAAAATCCAAATACGCCAATCGATAGGATATTACATTACGAACCTGTTGAAATAAATATTTTTCCAATTTTTCTGTAATTAAACATTTGAAAATGTACAAATGATAATTTTATCACTGATTTCATGAAATAAGCCTTTTTCCCAAACCCAGTCATCATAAACGAATACCACTTGGTTGCACATCATTCTGCTTGAACCTGAAAAGATATAAATCAGCGCTGCTCTCATGCCACTGCTCATTAACGCTTCGGACGGCGTCGCGCTTGGTCCTGCAGCAAGTAGGACCAAATCAGCGGCTTAAGGTGAATCACGGCGTGACCACAATGAGGAAAAGCAAAAATGTAAACCCTCCGCCCTTCACAACAATCTCTCGCCCCCCATTCAACAACCTCTCGCCCCTTTAAAAACCTCTCCTACCCTCCCCCCACCATCAAACCTCTCCTACCCTTCTCTCCACCATCAAATCCTTCCTACCCCCCCTAAAATACCTCTCCTAAACCCCCCCACCCCTAAAATACCTCTCCTAAACCCCCCCCCCCTAAAATACCTCTCCTAAACCCCACCCCCCCCACCCAACAAAAAAAAAAATAACCGAAAGCGAGACAGACTTTGACGATCCCTTTTTCCTTGAAATAAATTTTAAACATACCACAATCATTAGTAAAACCAAGTTTTACCAAATTTGAACAAAAAATTGCTTTGAAGACATGTTTGATGACATTCAGTTGGTGAATTACACACAACTGACGGTAAAACATATCTGGTGCCTCTATAGATGCAATTATATTAACATCCAAAGTCCATCCTATTTTACATATTCTGTACAAAAGAAACTTTCTGCTCCGCCCCATTAATAAAAAAATTGCGGGAAATCCTATCAGGTTCTGAACCTGAAAAGATATAAAACAGCGCTGCTGTCATGCTTTTGCTCATTGTCGCTTCGGACGGCGTGGCGCTTGGTCCTGCAGTAAGCAGGACCAAATCAGCGACTTAAGGTGGATCACGGCGTGACCACAAATATGATGTAAACCCCCTCCCCCTTTCACAACAACCTCTCCCCCTCCCCCTTCACAACAATCTCTCCCCTCCCTCAACGACCTCTCCTAACCCCCCACCACCACTCATCAACAACCTTTCCTAACCCCTCCCCCACTCATCAACAACCTTTCCTAATCGGATTATGTTCTAAATCTTATTTTAGGCGATGCAGGTTACCCATCTGAGCCATGGTTGATAACTCCACACCGAGCACCGGAGGATGGAAGTCCTGAAAGCAACTTCAATAGGTTGCATAGTGTAGGGAGGGGCATAATTGACCGGACCATCGGAGTACTGAAAAATCGTTTCCGATGCATACTAGGTGCCCGGCAATTGCACTATTCGCCATCGAAATCATCGAAGATTATTAATGTGTGTTGTGCATTGCACAATCTTTGTTTGACATATTTGAATGATGATTTGCAATAAAGTTTTCTTCTTTTGAAATTTTGCTCTAATCGAAATACTTCTAAAATTGTGACAGATTTTAAAACAACAGAAATATACCAAATTAGATTCATAGAATCTTTAGCTACGATCTATTTTTGAACCAACATCATCAAAGGAGTTCATAGAAAGATCTTAAATTAATTATAAGAACTTCACAGAAGTTTATAGAAGTTTTTGGAATTTCAGAGAAGTTCAAAGATCATCAGAATTTGAAAATCATTTCCCAAAATTTCAGAGCAGTTCTCAAAACTTAGTTTATTTTTAATTCTCAGAACTTTACAGAAGTTAAAATTTTTTTGTGAAGTTTCACAGCATTTCTGAGAAGTTTAGAGAAGAGAATTGTATAGATTTTCAAATAATATATTACTTTACAAAGGTTCAGGTAAAATCCGAATATTTTATGATTATTTAGATGGGTGATATCTTCAGAAAAGTTTGTCAGGTGGTCAAGCACTATTGATTGATGGAAATAACAATTCGGAATTCTCCTGCCAGGCGGCGCTAGTGAGCAATCAAAGTCAGTATGCTTTGTACAGCTGTATCTTATGATCCTGATAATTTAGACGAATGATTTCTTTGGCAAACTTGAACAAGAGGTCAAGGACCATTTGATGGTAGACAGAACAATTCAGATTTCTTAGGCTAGGCGACGCTAGTGAGCATTCATTCAAAGTCAATATGTTTTGTGCTGCTGTATCTCAAGATCGTGATGATATAGGCGAATTATTTGGGCAAACATACTTTTGAACATAAAAACCAATAAATGATCCATAAAATATTGGAAAACGTTCCATAAAAAACATCCAAATGATCCATAAAACTTCGGAGAAAATCCTTAAAAAAGTGTAAATGAACCATAAAAAATATCAATATGATCCATATTTAATGTAAAATTTAGCAACACAATTGTAAAAATGTACCGCTTAATTTCTAAGCAATGAGCATTGAAATTGTACGAATTACCCATAAACATATTGCATTTGATCCATAACACATTCAGCAGTGAACCTTAAACTAAAGAAAGTGATCCATAGAAAATCATGTTTGCGCACATAAAAATATAGCCATGTTCGTATTAATGAAAGCAACTTCCTCAGAGCAGTCTCGTTTTGGATAGCTTGAAGCTGAAATAGGTTTTATTAAACTAATATAAAATCAAAACCAATCTTAATGCTTATAATAAAACCTATTTCAGCTTCAAGCTGTCCAAAACGAGACTGCTCTGAGGAAGTTGCTTTCATTAATCCGAACATTCTTGAAGAACAACATCGGATATAACCTACAAACAGAGAGTAGCAATTTCAAATTTGTATGTTTTGTGGAAGCTGACATTTGTGCCTTTGAAGTTTCACGCTAAGGCTTCTTTAGAGTATCACCTTAAACTTTTTTTTTAATTTAAGAATGCCTTTGTTAGGAACGGAGTAGGCTCTGCCTTTGAACAAGTTTGACGTGCATTTTTGCTGTGATTTTTAAAACAATATAAAAACCAATCTGATAGTGATTTCTAAAGTTATTCAAGTTAGGGTGTGTCTTTCCGTGACTCTCAACAAAACCCGTGTCATGAAGTTTTTTCAGAGCTTCAGAAGGCAGCAGCTCCGAAAACAAACTCCTCCAGTGAACCTCCGACGTTATTTCGTTTGCGACGACGTCACGGAGAAGTGAACCACAAGGGCTGATAATGGGGTCTCTTTTAGTGATATTTCATATTAGCTGAACCTGATATGGATGATCAATATGTGAAAATTACAAAAAGATAACAGATACTGAAGAAAATGAATCACCAATCCAATCCAGGAACCAGGATGTATTCAAGGAGAGGCAACATGTTAATTCTGTTGAATAGTGTCAAGTGGATATCATCCAGATTCAAGCAAGAAATGTGGACCATGAAAGTACCAGTAGCGCCATGCATTTTCATTCTGTTGACATTGCCCATGGATTCATTTGGTGAGTTCGTTCCTACTTATTAACACTTGTGTTTATGATGGTCAACAGTGTTGAATGGTCACAAACAACTGCAGAATCTGGTGAGAGCTTACCATTTATTTAATTTAAATATTTGTACAGTAGTATTTTGATTTAGGCACGGTTCGATTTTAGCAACAAAATCACAAAACCGTTCACTTTTGGCACGGGGTTTAATTTTGGCAACGTGACAAGATTGAACGGAATTTGAAAATAGTGTCTTAAATCCTTCGATTTAAACAGGCCCGATGTTTTCTGAATCATCTTGCCCCTTAAATGCTGCACAGTAGGCCTGGCCGGTTTGATATGTGTGACGCATCTTCGATGTGAAACATATATCAAATAGACAAGAAAAATGATGTAGGTATATATGTCATTTTCCAGGATGCTTTCAAGAACTGGTTGTGTTGGTGTTAGATTAGATTAGATTAGAATATAAGAATGTCATTGTTAGAGATTTGACTAAAAACTGGAACATCGACGAGTAATATCCATCGTCCAATGCCGCATCCAACAAACCGAAAGCTCGGAAGTTATATGATGGAATGTTGAGCAAAAAATCATCATGCCCGAAAACACCAATGTTGTCTGAAAGCCCGGCATAATAAAACTTTTCTAGCCCTGACCAATGATTATCTACGAAACGCTTCAAATAAGAGAATTACATCGAAAAAAAAAAACAAATATGGCCAAAACATATAGGGTAAATAACGGCTTCGACAATACCATATTCTATTATCGTCAGAGGGAAAACAAAGTCCTTGAAAGCTCGATTCTGGCATGTGGATATATTGTGTTTCAAAGCATCTTTTGGCCAAATTTGAGTGCTCTAGGACTTTGTTTCCCCCCCTGACGATAATAGATTAAGGTATTGCTGAAGCCGACATTCCCCCTGCACAGGGCCTGCAAAAGTGTTTGGACAGCGTTATGTCAATAGTCTGGTCATTGACATAAGATTAACAAAATTACGGAATTAATTTATCCAATTGCAAGACTATACTAAAAAGAACATGTGCACAAATTAAATTCTTTAAGACAAAAAAGTTTGCATTTGAAAATCTTACTGTGTTCTTACTTTCTACTTTCTGGAACTCCCTATACTATCAAACATGGCATTTATTTCTGACCATTTATTTATTAGTTTACATCAACAGGCTGAGTGTAGCCCCAATGATGTTTAAGTGAATAACATTAAAATACATAGTCCAGCTTACTAAAATACACAAAACAATAAAATAGATGGTCATTCAACGGTTTACTGCGTTAGAGAAAATACGGGAAAAGCGCCGGCGTAACATCTCTCGTGTCAGGTTGAAATTGAACACTGAAGAAACTCGTTTGAACACACGTTGAAGGCCGTCTGTAGCACCGTTCATGTTTTAGTTAGTGCGACGCTGAGGCAATCTTAACATAGCGTTATTTCGCAGCGCTCGGGGTTGGACGTTCACGTTGATCCTCTCCAGGATTGTAGCCTGTAAACTATCCGCGATGAGCAGGGCCCGCGAAGTGTCTCTCCGAGTACGTAGAAGCTCCAGATCAATCAGTTGACATCGACTTTCATAACTGGGTAGACGAAAAGGGTTTCTCCAAGGCAGCTTCCTCAGAGCAAATCGAAGAAATCGACGCTGAACGGACTCAACTCTTTCAGCACCATTGTTATAGCTTGGGTTCCATACTGCAGAGCAATATTCCAGAGAAGAGCGCACCAGGGAACAGTATACCGATTTGAGACAATATATGTATATCGGAAAAATTCTTTGCAATTCTGAAAATGAATCCCAAAGATCTTGACGCCTTGTCGACAATGAACGAGTGTGTTACTTATACGTTAACTAGGAATCCAGAATAACTCCCAGGTCTTTTACGTGGTTGACACGGCTGATAGTTGTTTTCTGAAGTACATAATTGAACAATCCACGGGCCTAGGTGACTTCCTTGAGGTATCCCTGACGTGGCTGGGTCGACGTCAATTGCACCCAACGCTTGACCGGAGAGTGGTATATTACTAGCTACTAGGGTAACGTGGTCGTCGGTTAATATCTCATCAGAGAATACTTGTCTGAAAACAAGCGACAGATCTCCTGAGAGGTGGAAGCAACTTCTCCGTTGAACATCGTTGACGATGGTAGGCCAGACTCTTTGCGCTACTCGTTAACGTAATTCCAGAAGGACTTCGGGTGTGACTTGAGTTTACTCTGAATCCCACGTTGATATCGCGAATAGCATCGATGGCTAACTCGCTTGAGCTCATGATTGAGCCTAACGTAATGGTGTTTCAGCGACAGCGTACGATACTTGGTGAATTTCCTTAGTGCCGCTTGTTTGGTTGATTTCAACTTTCGCAATTGGCTCGTCTCCCAAGGAAGGTGTGACCCTTTTCGGTGAACTCTTTTTGGAACGTGTCTGTCAATGACATACGCAAAGACTTGTGAAAAAAAAACGTTATCAGGGTCCAGGACACTTCCCCAGTCTATGCTAAACAGCACGTTGATGATACTGCTAGCATCAGCTTTCCGAAAATCGTGTGACACGTTTGTGGAAATTCTTGGACAGTGACAACCAAAGGAGGATGATGAGGAACTTGCTTTACTAGTGGAGAAGGTGCCGTGGAGATAACAATAAGGCATAAGACACATTTCAGAATTGTCCAGTACTGCTGCTCATCGCAAGTCGGTCCCATTAGCGTTTTCGTCAAAACTGAGTTTTTCAATGGAAATTGTTGTTAGCAAGCAACTCTTATTTTCATAATACTGCATGAACTCAACATTTTTGTTCAGGAAAAGTTTGGAAAACAGCCAATCTGGTTGGTACTATGCAAACTTAAAACGCGTTTTTCGACGGACTTGCCATGAGCGGCAGAGTATGACTTACCGTTCTTTCGAATTAAAGTTTTTAATTTTGTATCAATACGTTAGTCAATATATTTCTCATCTGCTCTTATGCTTATTTTTTAACACATAAATGGTTAGTCGGTGTAAAGTACAAGGCAGTTTGTGCTCACTTAAAACAAAGTGCTTAACCACTGTAAACTTTGAGGTAACGTTAGTAACAGATTCCATTATTCTAATCTCGGGTTGGTTCAAATTTAACTAGTAAATTACAGATCTTAAATGCACTTCCATGACTTTTCCCAACAAACTATTGGTTCCACCTTAATCTCAATCGTAAGCTTACATACAGCATAACATGCAACACCGCTATCCAAACGCCCAGCCCTGCAACGTCAAACCAATAGTTGCTGTTTTCAATCTCCAACAGCTCCAGCACCTTCTTGCTCTTCCTATAGTAGCAGAACATCTCCTCGCACCCGAGCTCCGTCCGATTGAACCCATACGTAGCCAACGCCAGCCCTTCGAATCCATACCGGAAGTGTGATACGTATGTCAGCGGTTTAAACACGTCCAGCAGCTCACCATATCGGATGAAGAACCCGGAAAATAAGACCATTGGAACTATCGAACTAGGCACCACAAACGGGCTAACTTCCACCGGACAGATACAGCCGGCCACCATCCCGTACATCTGCGCCGTCCATCCCATCAGACAGCAAATACCCCAGAACATCACTATCCTTTCGGTTTCGTTCAGCTGCCCCGTTAGGTAGTACGCTATTATCTGGCAACAGGTCACGCCAGCCAACATCAGCGGGAAATCGGCCACTACCTTCGAGAAGAAGTACGCCGCCACCGAGTAGCAGTTGCTTTTGTGCTCCCGCACAAATACCGCCATTTCCAACGGGACTAAAAACAGGAAACTCTTAATTAAATCCCCAATAGATTTTATCGATCGCAGAACCTACAGGTAAGCACCACAGTCATCGAATTGGAAAACACTATGAACATCAGAATCATAATCAGACAGCTAATGTTGGCCAGCACCTTTGCCCCATCATCGCCCACGTTGTAGAACACGGAGCCGACAATCAACCCGAACAGCAAGTGTCCGATAAACCGCAACCGCGTCAGCGTGAGATTGCGGAACGTGCCCAGAGCCGTTCGTCGGGTCAGAATCAGAAACTGCCGGAACTGCGATATCGGATATTGAGGACTCGAACCTCCCCGGCTTTCGTTCAGTAGCTGGCCGTCACCGTCGATGCTTTGTTCGTCGTGAAACCCTGCAATGGAGATGGTGTTCGCGATGAAATTCAGTATGGCGAGTAACGTGCGAGAGCATGCTTTTAGGCGCGAGAGATGATTCATTTGCTTACTTACCATTCATTTGGTCGCTACTGGTGGATTGCATCTGTTTCATGAGAAGGTTGACTTTATCCGGGTCAGTGTTCACCGTGCATGCCACTTTCATAGCTGGAAATGAAAAACGGGAGTGCATCAGTATTTTCATCATCTAAAGAACGTGACCGTCACGAGAGGTTTTGCCTGTTTTTTACAGTATTTGTACTGTAACTGACAAAAATTAGAGGTAACTCTTAAATACCTATTATTGCAGATTTGTAAGTGGTTGGTTCATCTCTAGTTCAATTTTGTAAGTTTTTGATAAATATTAATCAATGTTTTGGTTTTTTGGAACTTAATGGATTTCATTGACACAGATTGAAGAATTTGAGAATATTCCAGGCAGGCCTGTATAGTAACAATTGATGATTTTTGGGCGCAGAAATTACGATCTACATACGCTCCACTAATGCAGGCTGTATCAAAATGCATAAGAGAATTTTTAAACACCCATCTAGATTCCTATGTGGTCATATAAGCAAAATATCGTTGTAAACATACAGCATCGAAAATATTCTGTCTTAATCCAGAATCAGTCATCGCCCTTAAATGTGAAATGGAAGTAGGTATAACAAATGCAAAAACAAACGTTTGAAAAAAAAATTAAAGGGTTGTGTCCTAGACACGACCGCACTATGACGTAGAACCTATCTATTCATCTTGATGATGCATGATATATGCATTTAAGTTAACATCCGACGTCCCTCCTTTTTAACATGCACGTTTTTTCAAGTCTCATTCCTCATTGTGGTGGACACGCCGTGATCCACATTTAGCCGCTGACTTAGTCCTGCTAGCTGCAGGACCTAGTGCCACGCCGTCCGAAGCGGTAATGAGCAGAGGCAGTTAGTTTTTAGTTTAAATGATCTTTATTTTAGTTTAACTTGGACGATTACCATATAAATTTTTACTAAGTGATTTAATTGCTTTCTTCATCTTTAGGTATGGGCAAAATTTAAAATTTGTTTTACAGGATTAGTCCTAGACTTAGTACACGGTCGACCACCTTGGTGGGATTGGTTTGTTTTGTTTTTAGAATTTGAAGAGAAACTACTTAATACTACTATTTACAGCTTAAAACTAACCTACTCTACTATATACACTTAACCTACTATGTACAAATTGCTTATTAAAGCATGTTCAGAAAGATTGCATTTTTGAATAAATTTAGTTGTCATATCATCAATTTTGGAATCTACTTTGGGAATTTCTGCCTCTTGATGGAGGTCTGCTATTCTTGTGTCGAATGGACGATCTAGGATCATCCTCAACACTCTATTCTGTGCAACCTGGATTTTGTTCCTGTGGGTCTGAGCGCACGATTCCCACACCGGGGCGGCATAGAAGATCGCGGGGGCTATGATCTGTTTGTAAACAGCCAGTTTGTTTTGCCTTGAGAGGCGGGATCTGCGGCAAATGAGCGGATACAAACACCTAACCAAGGCGGAGCACTTAACTAGGGTTTTCTCTATGTGCGAGCGGAACAGGAGCTTCTCATCGAACAACATCCCGAGATAAGTAACATCAGTGGACCACTCGACCCTTGTACCATCCATTATTACGGTACAGGAGGGAGACGGTTTAAGTTTTAATGATTGTCTGTGAAGGAACATGATCGCTTGGGTTTTCGAGGCGTTGATTTTGATTTTCCACGTGGTGGCATAATCAGTAAAGGTGTCAAGGCATCGTTGGAGCTTGTTCGTAATTTCACGAGGCATCCTACCCTTGACGGCTATCGCGGTGTCATCTGCAAACAGAAAGAACACGCAACCGTCTCCTAGAGGAGGGATGTCCGACGTGTAGATGCTGTAAAGCAGTGGTCCCAGCAGACTCCCTTGCGGAACACCTGCTGGGATCGGAAATTGTCCCGAAAGGGAACTATTCAACGACACCCTGAACGACCTTTGCTGGAGATAGTTACGGGTGATTTTCACAAGGTATGGTGGAAAGTTGGAGTTACAAAGCTTGTATATAAGTCCGTCGTGCCAGACATTGTCAAACGCCTTTTCGACGTCTAACAAGGCCATGGCTGTGGACTTGGATACAGCTTTGTTACTCCGGATGTTATTCATCACCCGCACTAGCTGATGATTGGTGGAATGCCCCTTACGGAACCCGAACTGTTCCGGAAGAAGAATGTCATGTTCCTCCACAAACTTGTTTAGTCGGCTGAGGATCAATTTTTCGAACAGCTTGCTCAGCGCTGAGAGCAGGCTAATCGGTCTGTAGCTTGACGGTAGTGAAGGGTCTTTCCCAGGTTTGCGGATCGGGATGATTTTTGCCACCTTCCAGATGCTTGGAAAGTAGTGCAGCTCCAAGCATCTGTTGAAGGTGGCAGCTAGCAGCGAGTGCACCCTCGGGCTGAGATTTTTCAATGCTAGGTTGAATATTCCGTCAAACCCGGGAGCCTTCATGTTCTTACTGTATTTCAGCGCTGAGCAAATTTGTTCCTCTGTAATCCGTTCTTCTGGAGGGACGGCACAAGGGGAGGCATCTAACGTCAGGACGCACTGCGCAACCTGGTTCTCGAGTGGACTTGGGATTTTAGAGCCAAGCAAATGCGACTGGGCAATGTGCTCCCCAATCGCATTGGCCTTCTCTTCGTTGGTGATAAGCCGTTCGTCATTGACTCTAAGTGGTGGAATGGGCTTGGGGTGAGACTTCAGCACCTTGGCAACCTTCCAGAATGGTCTGGAACGGTCGTCCAGGTTCTGAACGAGCCGCCCGAAACTCTCGTTCCGGATTGAGACCATTCTGGAAGCGATCTGCCGATTCAGATCGACCATTTCGTATTTACGCTGCAGATCCCCAGTCCGCTGAAACTGGCGTCTACGAACATTTCTGAGCCGAATCAAGAGTTTGGTGTGGGAATCAATTGCTTGAAACTTACCCCTCACAGGAACTCGTCGAACGCACTCTTCGTCAGCCACGAGGCAGGAGAGCAGCGCTGATTTATATCTTTTCAGGTTCAAGCAGAATGATGTGCAACCAAGTGGTATTCGTTTATGATGACTGGGTTTGGGAAAAAGGCTTATTTCATGAAAACAGTGATAAAATTATCATTTGTACATTTTCAAAAGTTTAATAACAGCAAAATTGGACAAATGATTATTTCAGCAGGTTCGTAATGTAATATCCTATCGATTTGCGTATTTGGATTTTAATTTCATCTATAAATGACAAAGTTACAAGCGTTCAAAACCTAACACTCCTTCACCACACATATTTTTTGATTTGCAGCCCTGTATAGTCGACAAAGACGTTGTTCTACGTCCAAAACGACTTAAAATGTACTATGGAAAATGTTCTACGCTCATCGCAAATTAAACTGTTGTGGGCCATCAAGTTGAAATAATATGATTTTATTAGGGCCGCCTCATGCAAATCTAGTTCCAATAACTTCAGACAAATTACAGGAATTTAATAGGAGGTCAGGGAAGTCCTTTATAGAAAGCGAATTTAGAGATCTTTGGTAAAGCAACGTAAAATTTAGAACATTTCTGAGAACTTCAGAGCTTAAAGTTTCATGAATATCTGGAAAATTTCGAAAAGATTAAGATAGCTGCCCTAATTTATGAAAATAGTGCAAACGTTTAAAAAGTTTCGACAATTTCAGTGAATCCTAAATAACTCAAGTTTAGAGAACTGTTAAAAACGTAACCATTGCGAACGATTGTAACCAACGAAGTTTCGAGAAATTCACGAAAGTCCACAAAACTTCAGGGCTCTTTATTACAATTCCATTAATTTTGCAGCAGTTTGAAGAACATTATCGGGAAAATTGTGAAAACGTATGCGAGGTTCCAAAATCTTCAGGGAAGCTTCAGAGCAGTTCAATTATCTATATGAAATTTTTGGGAACCTTATAGAAGCTACGAGCATTGAAAGTAAATTCCCCGAATTTCAGAGAAGTTTCATCCACAGAGTACTAGAATATTGGGGAAGTTCAGAAAACTTCAGCAATACTTCAGGAACTTCAGAGTAGTTTCGGAAAATTCAAGGTGGTTTCTTTAATTTCACAGAAGAAGCAGGAACTTCCAATAAGTCCTGAGAATTTCAGGGATATCTTTAGAATTTAAAGGAAGTCGATATAGTTGACTTGAGAATTGTAGAATCTTCAGCATTATATTAAGAGTTTATCAGAAGACCAAAGGGTGTCCACAGTTAAATTGCATCACTTAAAAAAAAAACTGTTAAATTTTGGCCCTTTGGGTTAATCTTAATGAAATTCTGGGTGAGACTGTATTATTGTTGTATTGTGGCCTCATCGTGTATTGTTTACACTGCGTGAGTTTCATTGTGAAATTTCTAGTAAAGCTCGATTCAAAGTAAATCTGTACGCACGGCATAATACACCACCGCGCCCCTGGTGGCTGGAACAAAAAACGTTTGACAGGCATTTGTTGATGTTTTATTGACGAAGAAATTGGTGAAAAGTTTTTCTCGATGGATCGACGCATCATGAAATTACGGATCATGGAACTTGAGAAAAGAAAATTAATTGTGCACAAACATCTAGAGAACCCTTCGTGGTCTGCCTCAAAAATAGCAAAAGTCAACAGTGAGTCTTGTAATCAAACGTTACAAGGATACTCTGAGTGTGGATAGAGCACAGCGCATCTATCATAAAGTGTGGATAGAGCACAGCGCATCTATCATGAGCCAATTTAAAATCGTTAGTTTCGTATTGATTGTTGCCACTACTCTAAAGAGGTACTAGAATGGATGCTGCAAACAATGTTATTTTCGTTGCCAAAGAGATTAATTCTACGATTTGCCCTGAGTTCAGACCGATCGAAAAATATTGGGCAATTGTCAAGCAAAAACATCGAGGATGCGGTAAAGCAGTGACAAATGCACAACAAATGCGTTGAAAGTGGAATAAATTCGCCAGTCACCAGCGACTGTGTAGATCATGATGGCATCGATCACAAGTAAAGTGCGACAGTTCGTTCGAAACGATGGAATGTAATAACTTGAAAGCTGAATAAATACTCTTTTGTTTGACGTTTTGATCAACCGTGCCGGCTGAAGTACGAGTAACCATAGGGAAGATCGGGTAACCAACCCCGGTGGGACCTTGGTCGTATACTGACAGGGAAGGGAGTGCCGTCTTTGAATGCCGTCTGTTCTACATGTTAGGATCGGCTGATCAACGTCCTGGTACCAGCGTGGGACTCTAAGCAGTGCTGTGCACGATGGTCCCCCGGCGAGACAATGGAGGTTGGTGCAGGCCCTACAAGCCAGCCGTAAAAAAAAAACAAAAGTACAGGAAGCAAGCAATGTAAATATGGACCGGAACAATTGGCATAGACCCAAGCAACTTGGAAACTCGGAACTGCAAGTTTCTCAATTTCTTGGGAAGTACCCGCATTCTTTCCGATTTCCACAAGACCCTGAGGTCGGGTATACTTCACCTCCGTACTAAATGTACCATGTACAAGGCGCTGATAAGACCGGTAGTTCTCTACAGGCACGAGACAACAAGCACTGGGTGTTTTCAAATGACGAGTGCTTAGGACCATCTTTGGATAAACCACGAGCTGGCGCAACTCTAAGGCAAACCCTGCCTCCAGAAAGTTGCGAAATCTGGACGGGTACGATGGGCGGGACACGTTTTAAGAATGCTGGATTCGGGCTAGTGTCATTCGGACTAGTGGGTTGTACGCGATGACGACGTAACTTAAAAACAAGCCTAGGCCCATTCCACCACTGACCCCACTGGACGTTCCGGCGACCCAGTGGTTCATCTGATAACTCCTTAAGAGAATGCTGCCGCGATAGGTCAACACTTCGTCAGCTCCCATAATCTCGGACAAAACATCGTCAGCCCTCATGAATCTGAGGTTGCTGAAAATGCAACCAATCTTTTCCAGACTCCTAACATTTTTCCAGAGGAATCCGAGATTACGGCTGACGAACTGTTGGCCTATATAAAATCATCTAAAAACATGAAGGCTCCAGGTTTCGACAACATCCTGAATCTGGAACTCAAACACTTGAGTTCCAGATTCTACAACCATCTGGCTACTTCCCCTCGTGTTGGAAGTCAGCTAAAGTCATACCCATCCGGAAACCTGGGAAGGATCCGTCCTCTCCTTCAAGTTATTGACCAATCAGCCTTCTCTCAGGGCTATCAAAACTGTTCGAAAGAGCACTGTACCACCGGCTCCTAACATCTGCCGATGAAAACAACTTGTTACTCGAGGAACAGTTTGGTTTTCGGAAAGATCGGTCGACCGTCCATCAGCTGACTCGAGTAACAAACATTCTCAGACGGAACAAGTCTGTTTCGAAAACATCTGCCATGGCGTTGTTGGACGTTGAAAAAGCGTTCGACAATGTCTGGCATGATGGCCTGGTGTTCAAATTGCAGCAGTACGGTCTTCCAATCTTCCTAGTGAAGATCATAAACAACTATCTATCAGACAGGACGTTCCGAGTCTCTCTGAATGGCATCTCATCGGATGCTTTCAACATCGGTGCCGGGGTTCCACAAGGAAGCATTCTTGGCCTTATCCTATTCAACCTGTTCACCTCTGATATACCGGCTCTCCCTGATGGTGGATCGTTGTCTCTGTTCGCAGATGACACATCCATCGTCTACAAGGGTAGGGTCATCAGAGCTTGGACTGCCAAACTTCAGAGAGGCCTGGACGGTCTGAATATTTCAACAGCTGGAAGATCCGTATCAACGCGGCAAAGACCCAGGTCATTATCTTTCCACACTCTAAATCTCCTAGACTTGTTCCGTCGGAGAATAACAAGATCTGCCTGAACGGCACAGTGGTGGAATGGTCCAAAGAGGTAGTCTACCTCTGCTTAACACTAGACAGCAAGCTTCTTTTCAGGGAGCACGTTGACAAAACAAAAACCAAGTGCAACATCTTGATAAGATCGTTGTATCCACTTATCAACAGGAAGTCAACCCTGTCCCTGAAAAATAAGCTTGCTGTCTAAAAACACATTATCCTTCCTGTAATCGAGTACGGTATGCCAATCTGGAAGAATTGCGCAAAATGCCATCACCTTAAACTCCAAAGGATCCAGAACAAGATCCTTAGGATGGTCCTAAACAGTCCCCCGCGGACTAGAAATTCTGAGATCCACTTCCTGGCTGGAATTCAAACATTAGAAGAACGGAGAGTATTCATCCTGTAAAGGTTCAGAGACAACTGTCTGAGATCAAATCATCAGATCTTACGTGATCTAGCACGTTAGGTTAAGTTATACTCGTAGTTAGGTAGATTATCACTTTTTTCAATTCAAATAAAACACATCCCCAAAGGGATATTCAGTAAACTAGTTGAAAAACGCAAATATTAAATTAGAATATCAAATTAAACAAAGATAAAGAGCCAAGTAGGCTAATCAATTAAAATGATAAATCAATGTACTACCATAATCAACAGAAATAAACATAGTTTTACTACTACTACTACGCGTTCGCAGTGTGCAAAATATTACGCAATTCTATCCTCCCTCCCTTACTACTCTCTGACGACTGTGCTGGGGAAGCAGCATATGCATGTAGGTAATTGGTGGATTTTTTAGTTAATTCGACGTTTTTGGACAATGCTGGACATTTACCAGTTTTTCAATAGTTTCTTGTTGAAAATCAACATTCGATGCGTAGCCATATTTCTGATCGATTGGTGATAAAATTATTGAAATTGGACCAGGAACAGCTGAGTTATTAACGTTCAAAATATTTCTTAATTTGTTACATGTTTCATTTTCGGTTTTCACAAAGTGTACCCCAATATAGAAATCAAAGACGTAGTCCTACGTAAAAAAAATTTATGCCTAACCCTCTTTTTTTTAATTCCAATATTTGTGCCAAGCTTCCTATACTGCTACAAAGCTTGTTGGGCTCTCCTGATCATTCATTTAAACACTCTAGACGTTCTTAAGCTTCGTAGAACTTTTTCAATGTTTCATTAACTTATCCAACGGCGTGAGCTGGGATTCAAAATAAAATATATATTATATGGCTGCATGCTATTAGGTCATGCAAATAACCATTTATACTGTTCAAATGACAAACTCATCCAGGAAAAAACAAAATGTGGAAAATTTAATTGAATAGTTTAATCTAATAACACACCTAAACCATTACACTTATTTTACCTTCCTAATTTTAGTTCCTAATATCACCTTTGAAACAGATTTAAAAAAAACAGCAAAATACTTCCAAGACTTGAAATCAAATCAATTAATTTGAGTTGTTGAACAACCTTGCCTGAATCATGAATTTTTTTTTCATCTACTGAATAATGAAAAAGTCCAAAAATATTATGCAGTGCCCGTAATTTTGAAAGATTGTTTAATCTTATTTTTATCACATAAAACTCAGAATCATAGATGTTTTTCAAATCCAGGATCTTAATTTTTATCTTTGTCATATGTTTAAATTCCCGATCATGAGCAGTTTTCCAGACTAAATCCTAGCACCGTCATTGTCTACTCTGTAGTTTCTATTCTCAAATGTGCTAATTAACTTCAAATCACGCCCGTCTTATATGTAAAATGAAATAGCAAAGATGCACCACTCACCGAAATCCGCTCGATTATAATACTGAGGACACACGAAACCAGCTCCCGCCAACGTCGCAATCATATCATCCAAAGCACCCTGATACATGCACCGGCCATCCGCGACCACATAGATGTCGTCGAACAGCTCCAACAGTTCCGAGCTCGGTTGATGAATCACACTGACCACACACCGACCCTGCCGGGCCAGATCTTTCATGTAGGAAATCACCTGGTACGAAGACTCACTGTCCAGTCCACTGGTGGGTTCGTCGAAGAACATAATCTTCGGATTGGATACCAGCTCCAAACCGATCGAGAGGCGCTTCCGTTCACCACCGGAAAGCACTCTAGCCTGACTGTGGGCACACTTTTCCAATCCCAGCAAGGCTATAATGTCGTTTATTATTTTGGTTTTGTGTATCCGGGTGACGTTCGATGACAGTTTGAGGTCCGCTGCAAAGTGGAGCGTTTCCTGAACAGTGATATTCTGGAGCAGTGGGACTTCCTGGGTGTTGTAAGCAACTAGTTGACGGTATTTTTGCCGTTCGGTCATTTCGTTGTTGATTAGAATGCGACCCGTTACGCCTTTGGTTCTAGAAATTAAAAATTTAGTTTGACAAGTTGGTTAACACCGTGCACCTCCATCGAATGAATCCATTTCCATGGAGGTGACTGTACTTACTTGAATCCACTCAATGCATTCATCAGTGACGACTTGCCAGCCCCCGAAGGGCCCATAATGGCAGTCAATCGTCCAGAACGGAACGTTCCGGAGATGTTCTTCAGCAGCTGTTTTTTGTTCTCCTTCTGACTGACGGTGTAGTTGAGATTCCGAAACGATAAGCTGGTGATGGTTTTCACCAGTGGTATAACCACTTCCACCGTCTCATCCAAGCTCATTTTCTCTTTTCACGCTCCCCGAGGCGGCCACTCCTGCAAACGTGTTGATCGATTAATAGAGGTCAATTAAGCATTCAGCCGAACGGTACAGACATTCGGCCCGCCAATTATGGCAATCGCATAAAGCATATAGAGTGTGCTGTAAGATCGTGAGGCAGGTCTGCAGCATCCGTAAAATGACTACCAGCAGCATGAGTTTATCTTGATCTGTGTACACCACTGACTTCTCATAATGTTTGTTTGTTATCTTTCGCGTTCACACACACCTCCCGTCGCACCGAGATCATTCTATGACGTCAGCTGTGCAAATTTCGATCGGGTATTTACTTTGTTCACCCAGACCAATCACTCACCAGCTGGAATGTTGTTTGGAGTGAACCAAGCACCGAAAAAACTTCGATACTGGATGGATTCGAGCGAGAAAACACTTCAAGCTGCTTCAGAACAGAACAGCTAACATGTGTATATGGTTTATTTATATTCACCGCACGACACACTCTCCACAGGTTGAAAAAGAATATTACCGTCGTCAGCAGGGAGAATTGATAATCTTTTCCGGTTCGGCTTTCGATCACCTTTTCGTTGTCCCGGCCCCCTTCTTTGCGTTTAATGTTCTACCCATGGAGTTCAACCTGTTTTATTGACTCATTCACATATTTTCTGCTGCTGCTCCGACTTCCCCCACTGTCTAAAACGTCACCAAATGCACATTCAGCCCCAAGCTCAAATTACGCTTACCTTCTTTCTCAACAAGGAAAGTTGTCCAAACCAATCCAGAACCCAATCGCTGATAGCTACTTCCTCCAAGAGCATTCAAAGTACTGCTCACAAATTGAAAACAAATGACATTAAGACACTGGCACCTTCCCACAAGCCCCTGCTCCACCCCCAAACACTGAAACTGGCGAACCTCGAACCAACCGAGCAAGCAAACAACCGGTTCAACCAAAACGCGAGAGCAGACTAACTAAACTCCACGCTGCTGTCAAGTTCACAAGACCGGCTGCTCCCCATCATAACCTGACTCTGCACAGACTCGTGGCCGTGGCTGCTGCTCTTCGCGCTTTCTCTGGTTCTCGCTCATGTTCAAAGCGCAGACGCTCGCTCTGTTGTTGTTTTGGCTGGCTCCCTAGCGGTTCGATTCATTCTTCTACGATCGAGCTTGTGAATGAATGAACCTCGCGGAACCGATAGCGATTTATTCCATGATGCAGCACCGTGGTGAACGTGATATCAGACGGAAACTCAACTACCAAGATGGGATAGTTCTGGAACGCGTGCTCTTCGATTGATATTGTCTGAGAGTGATAACCCATTAGGTATGGTGCTGAGGGGAAATTGATTAAAATCTAACGTATGTTTGATTGAAGTCTAATGATGTTCCGCTTTGGGAGAGGTATGAAATGTCACAGACCACAGAAAGAAGAAAACATTACCATTGATTTGATTGGCTGGAATTGAAACTCCTCCTTCTACAACAAGGTTTAATTTTTGCATAGAATAAAAAATTAAAGGGTTGTGTCCTTGACACGACCGCAGTATGACGTAGAACCACACAAAAATTGATGTTTTTCATGCATTTTTGACTATTATACTTTATCTTAAAATTTTCAAGTATTTCAATGTTTCGGTTATGGTTCACTCAAAACAATTTTTATTTTTTTTTCTTGACAAATATCCATGTAAAATTCCACATGATCTTCATTTAACCACACATAAACAGAATCCACTCAGAAGTATACATGAAATTTATACGCAAATGAATAGTATGTGTGGTCACGCATGGTTTTTATATGTACATATATTAAGTATGTGGCCGACACATAGATATTGATTTGTTGATCACGTTGCAACAAATCATGTGTGGAACAAATAAAAACTCCAAACAAACGGTCTCCTTGGAAAGGTTCAGAGACACCTGTCTGAGATCAGATCTTCAGATCATACGTGAACTGGCACGTTAGTTAAGTTAGGCTCGTAGTTAGGTAGGTTATCAAATGTTTCAATTAAAACAAAACACATCCCCCAAGAGGTATTCTGTAAACTAGATGAAATACGCAAATACTAAATTAGAATATCCAATGAACAAAGATGAAGAGCCAAATAGGCTAATCAATTGAAATATAAAATCAATGTATACACCATAATCAACAGAAATAAATGAAATTATACTACTACTACTTTAACAGTCAGTTGTGTGTAATTCACCAACATAATATCATCGAATATGTCTTTCAAGCAATTTTGTTTTTCTCAAATTGTGGTTTGTTTAAAATTTATTTCCCGGAAAAAAGTGATCGTCAAAGTCCATATCTGTTTTCGGATTATTGTTGAGGGGGGGGGGGGGTTGTGAAGGGGGGAGGGGGTTTACAAACATTCCTTTTCCTCATTCCTCATTGTGTCGCATTCCTCATTGTGGTCACGCCATATCCACCCTTAGCCACTGACTTGGTCCTGCTGCAGGACCAAGTGCCACGCCGTCCGAGGCGACAATGAGCTAAAGCAGTAGTAGTAGTAGTAAAATTATGTTTATTTCTGTTGATTATGGTAGTACATTGATTTATCATTTTAAATCATTAGCCTACTTGGCTCTTCATCTTTGTTTAATTTGATATTCTAATTTAATATTTGCGTTTTCAACTAGTTTACAGAATATCCCTTTGGGGATGTGTTTTATTTGAATTGAAAAAAGTGATAACCTACCTAACTACGAGTATAACTTAACCTAACGTGCTAGATCCCGTATGATCTGATGATTTGATATCAGACAGTTGTCTCTGAACCTTTCCAGGATGAATACTCTCCGTTATTCTAATGTTTGAATTCCAGCCAGGAAGTGGATCTCAGAATTTCTAGTCCGCGGGGGCCTGTTTAGGACCATCCTAAGGATCTTGTTCTGGATTCTTTGGAGTTTAAGGTGATGGCATTTTGCGCAACTCTCCCAGATTGGCATACCGTACTCGATTACAGGAAGGATGATTTGTTTGTAGACAGCAAGCTTATTTTTCAGGGACAGGGTTGACTTCCTGTTGATAAGTGGATACAACGATCTTATCAAGATGTTGCACTTGGTTTTTGTTTTGTCAACGTGCTCCCTGAAAAGAAGCTTGCTGTCTAGTGTTAACCCGAGGTAGACTACCTCTTTGGACCATTCCACCACTGTGCCTTTCAGGCAAATATTGTTATTCTCCAACGGAACAAGTCTAGGAGATTTAGAGTGTGGAAAGATAATGACCTGGGTCTTTGCCGCGTTGATACGGATCTTCCAGCTGTTGAAATATTCAGACAAAACGTCCAGGCCTCTCTGAAGTTTGGCAGTCAGAGCTCCGATGACCCTACCCTTGTAGACGATGGATGTGTCATCTGCGAACAGAGACAACGATCCACCATCAGGGAGAGCCGGCATATCGGAGGAGAACAGGTTGAATAGGATGGGGCCAAGAATGCTTCCTTGTGAAACCCCGGCACCGATGTTGAAAGCATCCGATGTGATGCCATTCAGAGAGACTCGGAACGTCCTGTCTGATAGATAGTTGTTTATGATCTTCACTAGGAAGATTGGAAGACCGTACTGCTGCAATTTGAACACCAGGCCATCATGCCAGACATTGTCTAATGCTTTTTCAACGTCCAACAACGCCATGGCAGATGTTTTCGAAACAGACTTGTTCCGTCTGAGAATGTTTGTTACTCGAGTCAGCTGATGGACGGTCGAACGACCTTTGCGAAAACCAAACTGTTCCTCGAGTAACAAGTTGTTTTCATCGGCAGATGTTAGGAGCCGGTGGTACAGTGCTCTTTAGAACAGTTTGAAAGAGGCTGATTGGTCGATAACCTGAAGGAGAGGACGGATCCTTCCCAGGTTTCCGGATGGGTATGACTTTAGCTGACTTCCAACACGAGGGGAAGTAGCCAAGTCTGAGGCACTGATTAAAAATCAGTGCCAGATGGTTGTAGAATCTGGAACTCAAGTGTTTGAGTTCCAGATTCAGGATGTTGTCGAAACCTGGGGCCTTCATGTTTTTAGATGATTTTATATAGGCCAACAGTTCGTCAGCCGTAATCTCGGATTCCTCTGGAAAATGTTAGGAATCTGATGAAGATTGGTTGCATTTTCAGCAACCTCATGCGAGATTATGGGAGCTGACGAAGTGTTGACCTATCGCGGCAGCCTTCTCTTCAGGAGTTATCAGATGAACCACTGGGTCGCCGGGACGATCCAGTGGGGTCAGTGGGGGAATGGGCCTAGGCTTGTTTTGAAGAATTTTTGTAAGTTTCCAAAAGGGCTTAGCACAATCTGGGAGAGAGCGGATCTTACTAGCAAAATCGTTATTTCTGAGATCCACCATCCTGGCCTGAATGATCTTTGTTAATCGATTACAATTGGTCTTCAAGTTAGGCAGGCCAGTACGCTTGTACTGCCTACGAATGGTGTTACGGAGTCTAATGAGATATTTGGTAGGGCTGTCAAGGTTCAGAGTGTTACTCACCTGTCTGGATACTGGCACGTGTTGTTCCCTGGCCCGGGAAATCGCCTCCTCGATGGTTTGTAGACACCGGTCAACATCTTCCGACGTCCCCGGTTGGACATCGTAGTCGATGATTGTGTCGACGCAGTGTTGATATTGTGCCCAGTTGACTCGATGGTAGTTGCGCCGGGAAGCTTCGAATCGGTTTACCGAGGATCCAACTTCGGCCACCACCGGGTAGTGGTCCGAGCTCAGCTCCTGGAATGCCACAGGTTGCAAGACGTTGTGTCCCATGTTGCTTACGAAGATGTCGATGGTCGCATGGACCCCAGACCGACTCAACCGGGTGGGAGAGTCCGGGGCCAAGATGGTATAGTGGCCCTCTTGCAGGTCTTCATTGAGGATGATGCCCTTTCTATTGCTCCGACCGTTGCCCCAAGCTTGATGTTTTGCGTTCAGATCGCCAGCGATGGTAAAGTTCCCGCTCCTCCGGGTGAGTTTGATGATGTCTTTGCGGAGGGCCACTGACGACCCGCCCCTGATGTTGGTTTGCTTGGGGCAGTAGGCCGCGATGATGGTGATTTTCCCAAGTGATGTGCTCACCTCCACTCCGATGGCTTCAATTGTTTTCAGCTGGAAGTTTGGTAGCAGCCGGCAACTGATGTTCCGTCTTGCAGCGATGGCCACTCCTCCACCTCCAGAGCAGGTGCGATCAAGTCTGACGAGCCGGAAGTCGGGAAGGAATACGTTCAGTTCGGGCTTCAGATGCGTCTCGGTGATGATAGCAATGTCGACCTCTTTGGTGTTGAGGAAATCGAGTAGCTCTCTATGCTTGTTCGTCAGTGAGCAAGCCAATTTGCAATTTTTATAGCTTCACGGTCATGAAGCTGTTCAGATCGAGTCTTGCAGGTACGCATGATGATGATGACCTCGGCCACGAGCGTCACAAGTTCCTCCGAGGTGAACGGAGAACCGTCGACAGATTCACCTGAGACAGCATGAGCTAAAGCACGACAGCAGCGCTGTTTTATATCTTTTCAGGTTCAAGCAGAACGATGTGCAACCGAACCTGATAGGATTTCCCGCCGTTTTTTTTATGAATGGGGTGGAGCAAAAAGTTCTTTTGTGCAGAATATGTAAAAAAGGATGGACTTTGGATGTTAATATAATTGCATATATAGAGGTACCAGATATGTTTTACAGTCAGTTGTTGGTAATGCATCGAGTGTATGTCTCCTGTTAAGCAATTGTTTTTTTTGAAAATGTTGGCTCTGCATGTAAAAAATTAATTGTTTATACGTAATTGTGGTTTGCTTAAAATTTATTTCCCGGAAAAAAAAAATGATCGTCAAAGTCCATGTCTCTTTCGGGTTATTGTTAAGGGGGGAGGGGGAGGGGATAGGCGTCCGAACGACGTGTGAATGCTGTTTGAAGGGAAAGCTAGCCCGTAAACCTTTCCCGCCTATGAAGGACCGGAC